GCTTTGCCGCGGAGTCCCAAGTCTTTTGCCTACTGTGGTTGTCGCACAGAAGTTTTTAATGTAAAGTGCTCGGGGAGCCGCATTTTGATATCGTCCAAAGTTTTCGCCCGGGAAGTCTTTACGAATAATGGCGTAGGCCTATGCTCGCTATTGTGGGTTGAAATCTGGAAAGAAGTGGAAGTCATAATTTAAAAAAGAAACCATATCAAGTTGCGTCGATTACAGTAAGCTCCGTGGTGTTTTAAACTGAACATTGTAAAATATAGTGGCGTCCAAAAGAAACTTGAAAATGTAATCACCCAGTCACCCGCTGACTGAAGTGTCTTTAGGCCATTCACAAAGGGGGGGACATTTCTTGTTCTAATGCACAGTAGAATTGTAAATGGGCTGATCCAACAATGTCGTGCTCATAACTGTACCTGAACAACAACAGGGAACTGCTGCTTTTTCTTTCCTAATCCTTACTATTGTCATTTTCCTCTACTTCTTTTGTATGTTTGTCACACTTGTGTGACCCGCTATTTCCGGAGTGCATTGAGCCGAAGAAGACTTTGTGCTGTTGAAGCTACAGAGGTGAGCAGAGTAAGTCTGATTCTCTGTAAGGACTTCTCTGTTGACATCCACCATTTGGCGCTCATATGACTTTTTGCAGTTGCGAGCGCCGTAAAGCCTCTACTAAAACAAACAACAACCCAGTCATCGTGTTAAAGCCTTGTGCAGCATGCCAATTGAAACCTCAATAAATTGTGCATAAATTTACTCATTATTTCGTCTACGATAAGAATAGCCCAAGATACGGTAACTCGAAACTGACCTTAAAAAATCAGGCTTTTTTCAAAAATGTGCGAAATCGAACAAACGTTAAAGTGTCTTCGCACTTGCATTGAGGATACTCAATATTGATTATTTCTTGGACTGAAGAGTAAAATATGGAAAACACTGCCTATCAAATGAAAGGAAAACTTTGTCTCTGCAACAATTACTAAATACGTTACTATAATTTCAAACAGATCGGAAAACAGCTGTCACAAATACCATGCAAAACTTGGGACTTATTTTTTACATTAAATTTGCACTCATTATTATTTGTTCAGGAGCCATTGCTTTTGTGTAGAGGACGAACCCTTTAGGCATGGGCTCTATTAAATTTGGGTCATAGTCATACTCATCTGTCATTTCATCCCAAATTTCACTTAAAGTTTCAATTACAAAGGTTCTGCATTTAGAGCAACGTCGTTTTTCTTCAGCTGTGCTGTTTCATGTGGCTTCATAAATCGGGGCTATTTAATGATGGCCGCTCCCACATTGGTATGATTTGGTTTGCCAAAAATCGTCTAGTAATATTGATCCTGTGGGAAAGTGCTCGAATAATTTCATATTCAATGCAGTTACATGCCACCAATGCTGATGTACCTCAATAGTGAGTGGTTGGCGGGTGTTCTGGTGTGGTTTGCTTCTTCTTTCCTGTCAAACATCTATCGTGCGTATCCCCCTTTTTTATGTTTGTTACTCTCTTTTAACACCTCTAATCTTCTGGCGCTCATACGCCCTTATGCAGTTGCGAGCGCCGTAAAACTTCTACTAAGAAAAAACTTGGCACCTCAATAAATGCGAAAACACGCTTTAACAATTTTTGATTTCGCACAATTTCGCCAAGCCTGCTTTTTAAGGTCAGTTTTGAGTCACCATAACTCGGCCGACCTTAACGTAGATGAAATATTAATTTGTCAATTGATGCAGAATTCATTAGCTTTAAATTGGTATGCTGTGTGAGTGGGTTGCGCAACGCTGTAACACGGATGATTGGGTGATTACATTTCAAGCCACTATATTGTCAAGTTGCTGGACCCTGCCCACCTGTGGTTAACCTTTTTATCTATCGGGTTTTATTTGGTTTTGCTTGTTATCTATTTTTTTTTCCTTTTCATTTGGTAAGAGTTTTAAGAAGCTCGCAACTGCATAAAGTCATCTGAGCGCGCGGGGCGCTCGTTTGCTGTTTTCACGTTAGTTCGCAGCACGGCTTGCTTTTCTTTCGTGGTTAAAGTTAAACATTCATGGTAAAAAAAATTTTAATAAAAAGTCATACATGTTTAAAATAGCATATTCTACGTCTTTGAATAAAGACCAATAGTCTGAACAACATCGAGAATCCTGTTAGGATTTTTAAAAATTTGGGTACCGTTCTTCCTTATGATCTTAAGGACGAAAGGCACTTTTTTTTCAACAAGGAGTTACTGTGTTACTGGTACCAAGGTCACTGCTTAAGAGCACGGCGTTGGGAAAATAAAATTGAGCTGATTTCACCGGGTTCGTTCGCTGGATTATTTTCAAATGAAATGTGACCAAAAGGAGATACTGACGCCTTTGAAACGAGTTTTTTTCTGTTTGCTATTGTTGTTGTTTTTAATATAACAAGTCTGAGGGTACACGTTTGTGGGTGTTTTATGTTGTTTGGATGCCAATGAGAACGAATGCCCTCAGGCTTCTGAGTGAATTATTACCACGGAGAATCATGACTGAGATTTGGTAGTAGTAATATGCCCCCCCCCCCCCCCAATAGCTGAGTGTTGTCACAGTCTGGCCTCGTTTTCCCCCTAGTGGAAGAAAGATAAGGGTAGACCCTAACAAATTGCAACAAAAATAAAACGTATATTGTTCAACAGATAAAAATTGGGTGTGATAATTTATTAAAAATCAGCTTTCGAAATCTTGGTGGAAATTGTTTAAAAATGCGTTAAAAGTTGTCAAAAAAGCAAAATTTAAATTATGACCAAATCGGTTTATCATACTTGCTTTGACGCAAGAATGTTTACGTAATGTGTACGGGTTTTCCCGAAAATGAAGTACTCGTCATCGGTATCTGTGCTTTTATGTAAAAAGTATGGAATGCCAATATATTAGCTTTTCAGTGGATGTCCTCTAAAGAATTGCCCCTTGTGCAATTAACATAACAGTGTATGAATGGTATTCTGGCAGTTGTACAACATAAAAAGACAACACATGTGACTGAAAGGCACCAAGAGCAATTTTCATGTCACCGATCTTACTTAAGTGCAAAACACAGAAAGACTAGTCACAAGGAGTGGGCTTTATAGAAGTGATCAATACTATTATTATTGTTGTATATTATTATTATCATTATTAATAATGTCATTAATAATAATATTAATAATTATTATTCTCAACGGAGAGAATGTCAATTTTAGGGGCAATTTTAAAATAAAAATGAGACACGTGAATGTTTGCCCTCTTAAAAAAATGATAAATGTAATTCTTTTTACAACCCCATCAACACAATTAGAAAATTTAGAAGGCAGGCTTGAACCTTATTCTCTCACGGTCTGAGAGAGATACATCCTAGTAGGAAAAATACGAGATACTTATTGAAGATCTCCTCACATGGGAATCGAACTCAGGTCTTCTGCGTGCGACCACAAAGCACCTAATCCTTACACTACAGATGTTGGTTTTCCTGGTGAGAGAAACAAAGGATTGAACAATCAAAATCCACTATGCGATAGACTCACACTCTGCTGAGCCCACTTTTATATCGTAAGTGTGCCCACAAAAGGTAGATTTATTTCCTTGTCTGCTGGTCCACGTCAACCTCACTCCCTTGGTCCTTACCAAACATTACTCCCTTTATCTCACTTTTTCATCAAATATGATCATGTTTTACAAGTTAAGGCATCGCTTTGTTCTTTGTTTCCTCCGGCTGTGTTTTTGAATGCCAAAAGCATAGTAAAGCAGCTTATAAAAGTTGACTGCTGAGGTCAAACCGAACTGTCCTACTTTTCACACTTAAATTCAACCCTATCTAAACCAAAGTACCACCACGTCCTCGGAAATTCATAATTTTTTGTTGTCAATATGCTTTGTAGTAAATTTGTTTACCAAAGGTAGTATTCAGTCAATGGTGAACTTGAATAACAGTATCCTCTCCATGGTTGTTTCAAACTATTGCACCGTGTGCACTATGTGGTAGAGAGGCTTACTATGAAAAGGAATACACAAATTATTTCCTCAAACATCATAAGGGGGCTCTCGTGGCCTAGAGGTTAAGGTGTTGGCCTCTCATTCAAAGGTGCCGGGTTCGAATCGGGATAACGACCCAAAAATTGTCATTTCTAACATTTTCTCCTTTAACCTCCTTTCCTGCTCTCTAGCAATGTTCTGTCATCTGCTTTCGTTTTCTCTTTCTGCCCCCTCCCCCTCACCTCCTTTGCCCCCTCTTCTGGGCTCCTGACTCTTTCTGCAGCCTTTCTACTGCTACTGCTTGGCTCCTTCTTACTGCTGTCTTTTAGCCACACCCCTGATCTTCTGGTAGGAAAGATCTGCACCTAGCCTTCTTGAACAAGGGCGAAAAATCTCGGAGGGCAGGTGTGTAATTTGCGCTCGTTAAAGATCCCTTGGTCGTCTGAAATCGATAAGAGTAGGCTTCGGCCGCCTCCCGGGCAAAATTCAAAATTTACTACCAACTGAAAAAGTTTAATGTGTCCCGTGTGCTCCTAAGACCTTATGCAGTTGCGAGCGCCGTAAAACACTTACCCCAAAAAAACAAACCACCAAACATCAAAATGAAGATGTTTGATAATAACCAAATTTGAACCTCAAGCAGGAAAAGTCTCTTTTCTCAACTTTTCTTCGAACCGCGATGCTCCCCTTAGTAGAATCACAGAATCATGTTGTAGTAGCCAGTCTATTTGATCTCTGTTTAGATAATATTTAGATGATTGTTGGAAATGCCTAATAGACAGCTATTTTGTATATTCAAGAATTACTGAGATGGTGAAATGGAATAATCACATGAAGCAGCCATCTGGATGAGTGAAAATTCTTCCATGGGACCAGAAGCACCACCCTAAATAGTTGCTTTGAATTTGTCTAAACTTTACATACTTCAGGAAACAGTTGGGTGGGGTTTTTTTTCAATTATTGATAGTATTATGCTTTTCTTCAATTATTGATAGTATGATTTTATTTTTCTTTTCTCAATGTAGGATGGCCAGTATGGAGCAAAAGTGTCACAGGCCAGCCTCCCTCCCTTCAGTTCCTTCACCCCATCTGTAGGGCTGGTCCCTGGGGATGTGGGCTACAGAGGTGGCAGAAATCTGCAGCAACATGACCTGTATGGCTCTGTGGCACAACAGGCTGCTGTGACAGGTTTTCAACCACCTGGAGTGCAGTCTGTCAGTCAGTCAAGTGGGTTTCACAGTCCGTTAAGCGTCCCCTCCCACTACCAACCACCTGTACCTGTTAATGAGGCGGCTGGCTTGTCCCAGCGTCCAGGGCAGTTATATCAAGAGTACGGAGGCACGCCTGCTTTGAATTACAACAATAACAACAACAATGGTAGCAGCTTGGACCAGTCAATAGTTCATACTACAGGCAATAGCAGCACTAGTTTTCCTCAGCAGTCTGCTGTTCCCCGAGCTTCTTCGTCTGTCAGTCATGCTTTCCCATACAGCCACCACCCCCATCCCAACATGTTGACCACTCAGCCACGGTTTTTTCCACATTCACACCGGGTGCCTGCCAGCAGCCAGCAGTCTTTATTGCACAGTGAACAGATGATGATGCCCAATTCTGTGAATCCTCTGCCTTATCAGATCCCTCCAAACCAGATAGAGCCGCCATATCTCTCAACTGCCCATCAACATCATCATCCACCACCAACACCCCGTCATCACTTTCCTCTGTCCACACCACCTCAGACTCAACATAAATTTGCCGGTGCTCATCATCATTCATCTGAAATGCCTGCTGAAACGCAGCAGCAGCAACATCAGCAACAGCAACAGCAGCAGCAGCAGCAGCAACAGCAGCAGCAGCAAAGTCGGTTACCACCATTTTCCTTATTTTCTGCACAGCATGTGAGTGATAATCATGAACAGCAAGCATATTCAGTGCCTAGTAACATAAACATGAACCCCTCGTACCCGTCATTGGGCAGCAATGGGCATAATCCACATAGCATCCAAGACCATAGTCCATCTTTAGGGGCTTCTTTTACGTACAATTCCTATCCGCCTCACCAAAGTCATGTTCCCCATTGGTGCTCTCAAGATAATATCACCCAACTGTATGATCAGAGCTCTAAGGCTTATCGTAGTAATGTACATTTGGGAGTGAGTCAGCAGGCCCAGGTTGGGCAACAGCAGTATTCCTTTCAAACTGGACTGCCAAGTCCTCATACGAACTTTTCTCAGGAATTTCAGAGCACCAGTTGTGTGCCCAAATCAAAAGCAGGGCCTGTTGCTCAAGTATTGGTGCCAGTGAAGGAAAAAAAGGAGAACAAAAAAGCAGCACCAAAGAAAAAAGTTAAGAGTAAAAAAAATCAAAATCTGCCTGATGTAAGTCTTCAGGTAGATTGTGGAGGAACTACTGAAGAGAACAGACCTCAGAGTTCATCTCCCAATCCTTGCTTTTCTCCCACATTCCTCGCCAGCTTGTCCTCAAAACGTGCTCCTGAACCACCAATATCACATCCCATATTACCATCGGCCCCAGTTTCCTCAAGCTCCCCACAACAGACGGCAGCACCCCCCGTCCTTTTAAAGTCTGATCATCTCAAGCCTTCAGTGCCTTTGTCGAATGCATCCAGCATCAGTGCGGAAAACAACAGTAACAGCCTTGACCGCACAGCTGCTGGAGTAAACCTGACCAAATGTCCAGCAGATGATGATAAGTCATTCAGACCTGTTACTGGATCTAGCAATGTCCCAGCGCAGAGTGAGCAAACCAGCAGCAGTGAGGCTGGCAAGTGTAATCCTGGTCTTGTGTTGAATATTTCCCAGCGTGAGGAATCTGTGTCACCTTTTCAACTCTCACCCACTTTCTTAGCCAGCCTCTCTGCAAAAAGAACAGATGATGTACAGGACACTGATCAAGTCCCAACTTCAGCTGCCCAGTTAAGTGATGTTGCTCAGACATTGTCTTGGAAGCATCCATTAGGTTGTGACACTAATGTTGGAGCTGCTGAAAGTCCTGCTGTTCCAAGTTTGTGCCAGTTTCCTGGTGTACCAGCATCAGGGTCTGATCATTTGAGAGTGTCTGTGCAGTCACTGGATAAAGAAAATGAAGTTGTTTTTCGAGATAAATCACCGTCACCGAATCCAATTTCCCCACGCTTTCTTGCCAGTTTGTCGGCAAAGAAAGTGCCGTCGGTAGTAACTAGCCAGTGCCATACACAATCCATTCCAGGCAGTACTGTGCCACCATGCCCCAGTAAGCAACTCAAATCGAAAGAGACTACTTCTGTTGCAACATCAGAAGCCACCATTGTCTTTCAGTTGAATTCTCCGAAGCCTTATGTGTCCCCTCCATCACATCTGCAAGGACCAGAGTTCCAATATCCTACACCTCCCATGGAGGATGACGAGGCAAAGGACCAGTTTCCTGTCTCCGATTCTTTCTCTGCCCTCTCACCTTACCCTGTGCAAAAGGTGCATCAAAGCTCAAAAGAAGAAGTCAAAAGCAGCATGTTGTCAATAGAGGAGACTTACTCCCTGCCCACCCCTCCTAGCAGTGCTGGACCAAAATTTGCCAACCCTATGGAGATAGCTCTATCCAAAGATGCTCAGACGAACAGAATTCTAGAGATCATTGCTAGGGAAAAAGAAAAAGCTGCTAATACCCCACTTACTCCTGCTGTGGAGCCAAAGAAGAAGAAGAAGAAGAAAAAGAGTAAGGCTCAAGGAGATGAAGACAGAGGGATCTTCATTCCAGAAGGAACAGGGTCTGGTGACTGTCAGGTGCCTCATGGTTTGGTAAATGGGAGCAGCCTTGTTCAATCAGATCCACTTTGTCCTGGAGGTCAGCCAGTTGGAAATGTTGGAACTACTCCTGCTGGCAATATGAACAGGCCTACAGAATTTCACCAGAGCGCTGCCAATTGTGCTCCTTATTTAAGTCAAAACTTTCCCCCTCCGGTAATTAAACAACTAGATAAAGCACCCGAGCATAATCTCTCCACTAGCAGTAGTACAAAAAACCCTGATCATTTTATTCCTTTTGATAATCATCCTGACCAGAACTTAAAATCAACACAATACCTTTTATCTCATCCCACCACAAACCGTGATAATGCCCCATTACAGCAGTGTTCTGAAATGCCTGGCTTTGTGCCACCACCCAATTCCATCAATCATGTTGGTGACGTGCATGGCCATACCTTTCCCCAGAAAGTTTCACCAATAATGCAGGCTCGTCATTTGAATTCATCAAAATATCCTCAGTCTCAGGAAATTCAGGCTGTGTCCCCTCTCCCCAGGGCACCTGTGAAACATGAACCGTATGCGTTCAGGGACAATAATTTCCTCGAGTCAAGTAAATCTGTCCCAACTCAAAAGCTCAATGTGCAGGACTCTGAAGTTACTACCCTTCAATCGCTGAATTCACGTGGTGTAGGTTTTGGGCATGAGAAGGTCGGTAGTCAGAAGACTATCCAACAAATTCTAAAAAATGGTGACTTTCTGCACTCATCTGACAGAAAGCAAGCAGAAGGGCCGAGTCAGGAACCACAACTCTTTCAGAAACAGAAATTTGATCTAAAGTTTGATAATGGTGTTCAGGACTGTAGTGGTCAGATTTTTCAAAAGAATGGAAATATTTGCCAGGATAGACTTTCGATGTCTGACCTGGTGAAGAAAACTGCCATGAGAGGAGAACAAGATTTTCAACGTGGTTCTTTGAAAGCAGAAAATTTACTCTCAGGGATTAAATACACAAACGCTTATCATGCTGCAGAGCCACTTTCTTTACCTGGACATCCTCAAAATCTCCCATTTAGTGCCGTTTGTGGTAATGATAAAAGAAATGAAAGTTCTAAACTGTCAGTGGACGGAAAGATCCCAAAGAAAAAACGAGGTCGTCCAACAAGACCCTCAGGCGTTGCTAATCCACTGTTGGGAAACAAGAAGCCTTCGCCTCTAAAGCACAAATTGGATCCTTATCAGACCATTCCACAAAGTTCAACCCAAAACCGTGTACAGTACCAAGTGAATGGCAACAATGTCAAGGCTGAAGATGTCAAGGTCAGTCCAGATTTGGTAGAGCGACTCACTAACAACCTTGTGGAAGTTGCTGACTGCACATGTCTCGGGCCAGACCGTGAGTGATATCTCTTGTTCTTCTTGTTTCTATTCTTTCTCTTCTCATCTCTCTGTTTCATCCTGTTTTTTCAATTGCCAAAGTTTTTTAAACTCTTTGCTCTAAAATTTCTATTATAATTATGACTCATGTCTGTGGGAGGAATCAAAATGATATAATGTTCTTTTGAGGGTTGATTTTTGTTTCCACGTCAGAGAAGACTGGTTACTCTGTCAGGGGTGTTAAAGATATGAGGGGAGAAATGTCAAGTATGGTATGGTTTGGGGTTAAAGGAGAGACAACATGGACATTTGTCATCCTGTTATAATTCATGGAAAATGGAAAAACAAATGTGTCATGACGTGGTGGAATCAGGCACTCGTCTGTTTTAGGGTATATATAGAGTTATTTGTATCATCTTAAAGCCTGTTTATTTATCTTACTTTTAATGAAAAGAATACCCATATATATCATGAATAGAAGTCGAGACATTGCAATTGAAGGGGGTAGGGGTCACCTGGTTTAAGAGGTCAAATGAACAAGAAAATGGCTGCCAAAATTTGGTGATTTCCAAAGCTTCAGAGTCCTTGGAAACTGGAAATTTATATTTTTTGGCCATTAATAGTTTTTCCATAAAATCAGCACAGAAATATGTTTTTGAAATGATTTAAAAGGTGTTGTTTAAAAAATTGATAAAAATTACGAAACCAGCGTAAAAATACCGTTTTCGTCGATTTCATTATTTTGACGGGCGCATGATTTCACCATAATGCATCACAAATGTTTTCCTCAGACTTTAGGGTCATTGAAGTTTTATTAGTAATGGAGACCCAATTATCTTAAAAGCATGAACTGCTCAGGTGAGAGATAGAATTGTTAAAAGTAATATTTATATATTACCTCTTTGCTTTCCAGATGTACCTTCAGAATCGACAGAAGGTCCATATTACACCCAGTTAGGGGCTGCAAAAGATATTCCAGGAATACGAAAGATTCTGGAGCATAGGCATGTTTTGGTTCATTTGTATTAGTAGTTAGTAAAAGCAAATGAATTAGCTTTTCATACTTTTCCTTGTACACTAAAGTAATATGGCACTCTTCATGTTCTTCAAAGTTTTAATGAAAGAAAATGAAAATAATGAGTGAATATCTTCATATCTTACAACTTAATTTGATAACATTGATTGATTTAATATCAAGAACCTCCATGCCATAATGTTGATATAATATCAGTTTTGGATCTGTTTACAGTGAAGATTTATCGTTTTTATCAAATTTTGCTGCTGATCTGTTACATTGTAACGTCTTCTTTTTGGAAATATTTGTTTGACTTTCAGTCTATTTTAGTTTTCAGATATTACTATTGTCATATTAAGCCATCATAGTTATGTAAACATGCTCTCACAATTATGCTTTTTGCAAAGGAATATTCTGTTTCATGAGATTTTGATGTAATGTGCCTTTATCATAATTATTTATGTGTGTGTTTGTTTCTGCAGAACTGGTGTGGCAGGCTCAGCTATTCGTATAGAGAAGGTTATCTTTACGGGGAAGGAGGGAAAAAGTAAAGAAGGCTGTCCTGTGGCGAAATGGGTAAGAACTGGTAGTTTGTTTCACTAATTAAACACTTTAAAGGCTAAACAAAGAGTGGGTTTTATAATTAAACCAGAAAAAGCAAAATACATCCCAGATATCAAACATATGTGTCAAAAAGACTAATGAGTACTTAGCTACTAGAAGACAAACAACCAACAACTTTCACCCAGACTTAACCCCGTGCAGTAACAACTACAGGGAAGAGGAAAGTCAAGAGTTTTTTTTTTTTAAACTCGGTGACATGATCAATAAAGTAAAATACAATAAGGAAGTTATAGTCATGAGCAACTACAATGGAAGAGTAGCACCAAGAAGATACCCTTCAAAAGACCACCAAGGACTCCACACCGACCACAACACGGACTGCTTCTGCTACAGTAACAGTGAAAAGGTGCTCACCCTGTGGGCCGAATTGCATCTAAAAATAATCAACACTTTCTATGAACATTGGAAAAGCCAAATAAAAACTGGAAACAAATAGAACAGTCTGAAGACCTCCTCACAAATAAGACTTCATACTGGCAAACAAAAGGACAAGAGGTACCATCGCAGACTCCAGGGCAATACCAAACCATGTTATTGACACTGATCATAGACCAATCCTCCTCAGCTTAACAAGACGAAAGATACCCTTAACACGGAGAAAAAGCATAAGGTTATCAAAATGAAGAACTTGGCTGGCCCTACCATTAAGGCAGAAATAAAGGAAACCATGAGAGAAGAATGGGAAAAGCTGCCATCAGAGTCGAGATACATTAAAAAGGAATGGCAGAGCTTCAAAGACTCCTTTAAAAGAAACTTTAAGAAAGAAGAATAGGACAAAACAAGTTGGAGACCAAATGTGTAAGGGAACGATGTGGTGGAATGACACAACTAAAGAAGCCATGAAGCCGAGGAAAGAACTCGACAAGAAATGGCTAAAGACCAAGGTGGAAAAAGACAACATTGAAAATACAGAATGGCATGGAGAGAGACAAAAACAGTCAATAAATCAGCATTGAAAAGTTCTTGGAAGAACCATGGAGAACAACTGACTAACCAGTGTAAGCCCAGGGGAATTCTACAAAAGTGTCCAGTTCATGAAATGAAGGGATTAATCATGTAACCCAATACACACAATAAATGATTGGAGAAACATATATTACAAACAAAGACAAAATAAAGAAGAGATGGCAGGAGCACTTCCAAAGACTGTTGAACCCTGCAGGAGAAAAAGAAAATGACGCACAGACACCTAAAATTGTGAAAAATGGTAAGCCATCCTCACCAGCGAGGTGGAAGAAACCCCCAAAAAGAGCTCGCAGAACAAATCTCCTGAACCAGGCAACATTACCAGAATATGGGATGAAATACCTACTTTTCAGTAACATCAAAGCACTATTCGAAAATAATCTGATTTGTGTAAGAACTAGGGAAAAAAGCATAAATCCTTTCAAGAAATATGAAATGAAAATGATCACACCTAAGACAGAAGGAATGAAGCTTTCCAGAAGCCAAACTTTATTAAATATCCAAGTCAGCCAACAAGTTGTACAAGAATTCAAACAACTTCAAAGCATATTCATGTCAGATGAGGAAATTGACAAAGAAATTGAAACACAGTACAAAAGGCATTGCTGTCACCTACCAACTAACTCCCATCCTCTCCCATCGACATGTGATATATGATGGCTTTAAAGCAAAAGGAAGGTCAAGAAAAAGATGGATCGATGAAGACAAAGACCCTGAAATCAGAATGTAATGATCCAAAACCCAATACACTTGAACACCGTCTGACAAGCTACATCTGCCCTGACACCCTGCTGGATAAGAGGATAGAAAAAAACCCAAACAAATTAAACCTATAAAATGAACATCACAAACAATAAAAGTTCTGGGGGGAGGGGGGTGAAAAGTGGACGGTGGGAGAGGATTTTGGATATTTTCTGCACTCTTTGACCTCGTACCACATTGCTGTCTCCTTTCCAGGTTGATACTCTTAGCTCTGATGATAAGATTTAGTAGCTTTGAGCCAATTGTATTGAAATAAATTAGTGTCGGTGTTGCATCTGTCTCATATGTGTAGAGTTATTGCCTATTTTAGTTTGTACGCACATTTTTCAAGATCATTCTATTATGTATTGTTTTTGTATCTGATTGCTTTTTTTTTAAATTCTTCAGATAATTCGCCGTTCTGGGCCACTTGAAAAATATCTGTGCATAGTGAGAAAAAGGCCTGGTCATTTCTGTAACACAGCAGTCATCATAGTGGTTATTGTGGCCTGGGAGGGTGTGGTCAGACAGCAGGCGGATGACTTGTATGACTTCCTGATCAACACACTACCTAAGAGTGGTTTCGAGACTGACCGGCGCTGTGGCCTCAATGAGAAGTGAGGCATTGTCTGTGTTGAGTGTCTGGGAAGGATACTTTTTGCTCCATTTCTTGTTAGTGTTTCAATGTTAGTGATGGCCTGTTGCTACAGTATATTAAGAACAGTTCTTTAATATTTTAAATAAACACTTATTCCTGTTGAAAGAGCTTGCTAGGCTGCAACTTTTTCGGACATTTTGGGATGATTCTGGGTTTTGTGACAATGCTTTCAAAATTTTTATGAGTGGTGGGTGCCTGGTGTATTCTGGGAGCAAAAATAGTGATAAAGGAAATTGGGAACTGATGATTAGGTTTCTCTTTGGGGGGGTGGGGGGGGGGGGGGGGGAGGCAGACTGCCCTCTCATTTGGCTGTGTCAGTGTCTTTTAATGTTATTTTGGTGTCTTCAGATGTTGCCAAGTGTGACCAATAAATATGTTGCTTTGCATTTTGTAATGAAGTCTCTTTAGGACATTTTTCTTCTTTCAGCAAGGAGAAAAGGCAAATGAAATCCTGAAGTACTTCTTGTTTTTGGATGTGTTGGGCATTTTTATTTTCAGCAACACAGAAAGTGAAGACATATTGTTTATTGTGTTAAAAGACAATTGATCATCTGGGCTTGCCCACAGAGCTTAAATACCAGCAGAGTTTCTCAGGTTGAACAGGGGTCAGGTTTATAATAATAAACCGAGGTTTTGTGGTTATTTACAGAGTATAGAAAAACTAAATTGGGTGGCACTTGTCAAAATAATGAATTCAAAGAAATTGGCATTTTCCCCGCCTGTTTGGCAATGTTTACTGAATTTTTTAAAATAATTTTTTTGGTCCCTCGCACCATTTATGTCCATTCAAAAATATATTTCTGTGTGGCATAGACAATTAAATTTGCGATTTTCAAGGACTTATGGGGCCCTTTTCTCCCTTGTTTTACCTCTAAAACTGAGTGATCCCACCTCCTTCAATCACAAATATCTCGACTTCTATTCAGATACATGGGGGTTTTTTTCATCGAAAGCAAGACTTTGATATGATGCCAACTATTCCACATAACAAAAAACTGACAAGCGCCTGATTTCTCTACGTTGTGACCCTGTTGTTCCTAATAGTTTCAATTACATTAGCTAAGGTCCTCAACATTTTTACCTACACATTTTCTCATTTTCTCTTTGTCCACTATTCGCAATCGTCCTGATATAAATTCTATCCCATTGTCAATTTCCTGCTTGCGTTGAGTTTTTTGTCTTTCGACTTTTCACTTGGTAGCATAGACTGTCCGCCTCTTAAGTGGATATTTGGGATGAAAAGCGTTTGCTTTATTTATTTGCGACCATGTCCTTGTGGAGAGTCTGCGTCATGTGTCAAAAGATCATCTGCCTGTAGTGGGGACAATTGTTTTGCTGGTTTGTTACTTTTCAGTTTTGATACCTTGGTCACTCTTCAAAAGGTTTCCTCAGTTAAAGAGGGACTGATATGCTGAGTGACAAAAGTAGAGCCAGAAAGTATTTGAGCTGTAACAGTGATTTTTGTTTTACAAAGGTTTGTCTTGTGTTCCATCACAGGAAGACATGTGCCTGCCAGGGGGTGGACTTGCTGCGTAGAGGAGCCTCTTTCTCCTTCGGCTGTTCCTGGAGTATGTATTACAATGGTTGCAAGTTTGCTAGGAGTCAGTCAGCTCGCAAGTTCAAGCTGAAAGAAGCTTCTTTGGTAAGTATTAGACCTGGAATTCACTTCTACAGTGTGACAAACTTTTAAAAACTTTTTAGCAGACATCATTTTATGTTCGCACAAATTTCTTTGAAGACATTGTTCATTAACATGTCTGCATGGCTGAATTTGCACTGAACAGGCTTCCAAGGAATTATATATTGTTCTGGCTGTAATATTTTTTCTTTTCTGTCCTTAGCTGTGCGTCACCATGCCACATGGCTGTTCCCTTATATAATTTTGCCAAGTTTTGAGTTTGTATTGGTATATGTTCTGAGGGCATGATTCTTAGCTATCTAATTACCAACAGGTAGACAAACAAATAGAAAAATATTGGAACGAATAACCAAAATTTATTTTTCAATGTGGACATATCAAATTTTTTTTATGTAAATGTTTTTTGGAAGGTGGAAATTTAAATATCTTGTGTATAAATCATGTTCTAGTGTAAATTATATTCATAATTCACAACAATCCTTTGTTGAAAGTAGTTAATTTAAAAAGCTGTCTATGAAGGCTAGAAAATGATATATTTTGTCATTAAAAAACAAGATTGTAATTCCTTTTCCAAATGAATTAAAGTGTCAAATAAGATGTTATGGAAACGGGCTTTTACAGATCAGGCAACTTTTTAAAATCTCAGGATTTAATTAATGTGTCATTAAGTCTCAATAAGTAATTATTCTCCCAACATGAAAATTACTTTAAGATACAAATACACAGCATTTTCTCACTGCATGAATGATCATAATGCACTCAGAAGTGTAGGAGGGTGAAAAATAAAGTATAACTCCACTGTTATGATGACCATGGATGTTTGCATCTGGTCAAGCAATTTGAAATGAGATGTTACACTTAACCTGTAGTTCTTGCAGCTGAAGGATTCATGACAGTGTGTTTTCTTTGCGCTTTCAGGAAGATGGACTTGATCAACGTTTGCAGACTTTAGCAACAGATGTTGCTCCGTTGTACAGCCAGTTAGTTCCAGATGCGTTTCGCAATCAGGTAATGTCCTGGAAAAGACAAGCAAACAGCTCCTCAGTCTATTATGATCCTTTAACATAAATCAAAGCTTCCCTGTGTGAAATGATGGAAGCTTCTGTGTTGTTCTGCTTCCAGTAGGGTGATTGACAGGAGACAAAAACAAATGAAAGAGAAAGAAAAGAAAAGAAGATGAAGAAGATGATGGCAATGATTGAAATGTGACTATTTAAATTATGTCACAAATAATATCAAGTTCAAGTAGAAGCAGAACCTTTCTTGAAAAGAGACTTACTTTGATCACTAAATTAGACAGCTACTGTAATGCAAAAAAGTTTCCAGATGGCAGGCGGGTTTGAACACTCAAGATATTGTACAATTTTCTTACCTGTGAGCGCTTTGTTGGAAGATTCTGGAAACAAATCAAACTTGAAACCATGGTCAGTATTGGTGCGTTCATTCAGCAATGTTTGAAATTAGAGGGGCCGTAGCCTACCACAAAAACACTCTAGAATATTCAAGGTCAGCTCTTACGTAACTTTATAATTTATAGCTGTCTGTCCGTTGTGCTCGGTACATCCATGTAACAAAGAATTGGAATGGGAGACAGTGAGAGAGGGGAAGAGATATGAATGCATGTGTGTGTAAGTGTTTGGCGTTGGTAGTCTAGTGGTTAGGCTACTGGACACTTAATAGTGAGGTTGCGAGTTCAGGGGTTCGAGCCTCAGGCAGGGGTACGTTCATTATGAATTTGGCAGAATCTTTACAATTTTTTTTCAGTTTGAATAAATACTATCGAGATACCCCTGATTCCGATTTGTTGTAAAATTTCGGGTACCTCAACCCACTGCCAACCTTCCCAGTGTTTTAGGGGAGAAAAACTACTAAACCTGGACAGTCTGTTTCACTAATATCACATGCAGCAGTCTAACCTAACCCTATCCGTACACCCTGGGGTTATTTTGTACCCCCGGGGTTGTATTCTTCACATTTTAGAATACTTCTAGTATGAAGATCTCTTTGAAACTTATTTCAGTATTTCTCAAAAAATCATTTTGACAGATCGGATTAACGAGTAAATTTCCTCTTTGGAAGTGGTGGCACAGAGTTCCCCATGTTGTATGGATACGATAGTAAAACACGACATACAGATAGGGTTAAAGACTCTCTTTGGACTGAGCCCTTGTTGTTACTCAGTACCACTTTGCTCTTTAAAAAAAACCCATTACACTTTAGAAGTGCAAAAGTCAAAGGTAAGACAAACATTAGGTTGGCAAAGTGTTAGAAAATCCCCTCCCTTAACCCTATCTGTACGTCGTGTTTTACTATCGTATCCATACGACTTGGGGAATTCTGTGCCACTTCTTCCAAACAGGAAATTGACTCGTTAATCTGATCTATACACTTTGCATAGCAGTCTGTCAAAATGATTTTTTGAGAAATACTGAAAGCTTCAAAGAGATCTTTGTACTAGAAGTATTCTAAAAAGGGAAGAATACAACCATGGGGGTTCAAAATGATCCTAGGGTGTACGGATAGGGTTAAGTGTTGTGGGTGACAGCCTAGGCAAAAAAAGGATCAATGTTTGAAACTTGAAACAACTCGCTATGGTGGGTATTGTGTAGTTTCCAAAAAAAATTTTCTGTTTTTGCAAGCAATAACTACGCACAGCACCCCCCTCTCCCCTTTCTTCCCTTTGATTTAAAAAATATTTTTTAACTCAATTATGACGAGCCTGGCAAGACCTCTTTTTTCGTCAAGCCTTTATTTACATTACATTTATACTTGATCACAACCACTGTCCTTGACACTTCAGGAGGACATCTATACATGGCCATATTATTACGAATCTTAAGGCCAGATTACTAATGTTCTATTTGTTGATTACTAAAACATATGCTGATGGGTGGGCAGCCCTGCTCAGGCCCAACATTGTGTTCTTGGGAAAGGCATTTTACACTAATTTTCCTCATTTTTACCCAGATGGGAATGGGTACCAGGCCATAGACAGCAAAAGATCTAGTCAGTTTGTTAGTGTTTTAGCACCTATGAAATGGCAGCTTGCTCTGTATGCTTCCCAGGAAGTTGAGGAGATTGTCTCAGAATGTTATCAGGTCAGCCTGGGTAATAATATAGATTGTTAAGCGCATAGAGCTTGCTGCTGAGCGGAAATTTACCATTTGGTTCCTGCCTTGTTGTAGACTCTTATTAACAGAAATTAAAGGCCATGATCTTATTGTGAGGCTTAAGTGTCAAACATGGAGCACCCTATAGAGACCAAGTGTTTTCTTCCTACTTTATACTTTCTATCTGTTTGTTACTTTTTCTTTGCACTGAATCGCCATTATCATGCTAACGTGCATTTCTTTACTAAAACTCAAAATTGCATGTCTTCTTTTGTTGTGACAGACCCAGTTTGAGAGTCGTGCCAGTGACTGCCGTCTGGGCTACAAGCCAGGCCGTCCCTTCTCTGGGGTGACCGCCGTGGTGGACTTCTGCTGTCACAGCCACAGGGATGGGCACAACATGAACAATGGAGGCACAGTGGTCAGTGTCTATAGGGCAGATCAAAAAGAGTCACTTTAATTGCTCTATGGTTAGGCTTGCTTTATCTAAAATATTTGAATTCGGAACGGTTCTGTCTGCGAGCCGCTAGGAGCGGCTTGGAGGAGATACACAGTTAAACAAAACTATGACAGGTTTCCGTTTCATTTTTGTTGCATTGAAATGTGCTATTTCTGGTGTTTCTGTTATGTAAATTTGGTGTTAGTGGTCAAATTCTTGTCAAAGCATGATTTTTTCTGATAATACCCCAGTCCCACGTGAGTTCAAAAGAGTATTCTGCAGAAAAGAATTTGTTAGTTGGAGTTTGGGGCCTAGTTGTGACCAACTTGGTTATGCATTGTATTTTGTATTGATTCCCTTTTTCTTGGAAACACACACAAACATATACAGTATAACCCGGATAGGTCGAACACAGATTACTGGAAATCAAGCATCCATCGAACTGTGTCTGTAGTCACGTTTTTTATTCTTTATCTTTGTAAGAAAATTACGCGAAGCTCAAACACAAACACGGAATAGTCATACTAATTAGTCTAATTACGCCGCCGTAGAGGTCTAAAGTCAATGGGTTTTTTAGGTGCACTTGAGACATAATAATAATTTTTTTAAACGGAAACGGGCAAGGTCGGTAAAATACCACACGCACACATACACACGCACACATACACACGCACCCTCCACAGAAGGAGATAGCTGTGCTTTTTTTTTTTTGCACTACTCAACACGCGTGCCCAGGTCCTAGGCTTGGCAAGGGTTGTGCATCACACAATCAGCCGCCCCGCCCCTCTTTACAAAGGACTGCGCTCTGTAGGAGAGGCAGGGTAGGGCTGCATTTAGAGTTGGGGCGAGCGGACGGACAGGTTCGTTACTCGTGGACACAGTCTGAGCCAGCGGGTAACGGACGGCCATGCAAGCGGACTGCGAGCCTCAAGACAGTTCATTATTTGGGTCCGCTCCACAATTTTACTCTCTCAGTGAGCGGATTGCGAACCTCAAGTCAGTTCGTTTCTTGGGCCGCTTCCACAATTTTATTCACTGAGTGGGCGGGCGAAAGGACAAACTGTAGCAGACAAGATGCTCAGTGCGAGGTTAGGCCTACTGTCTATTGTTTGTTAATTAGGGGCCTAGGTCTGATGTTTCAAGCCACTAGCGGTGCCACAGGGAGTGAGAGAGGCTGGTGATGTAGTACTATATGTGTAAACTTTCACCTTGTGTGTGGGTCACACTCTGTACGTTCCAATGTATCACGAAGGCGAAGTTTAAAGAATTCCCAAAGGCCCTATTGGTGTGGGGGGGGGGGGGGAAGAGTGTAAGAAGTATGCAGTGGAAGGAGTCGCTCCCCGTCCATCCATCCGACTGTTCGCTCGAACACATGGAGTCTCTCCGTCTGCCTGTCCGCTCTCTCTCTAAACGAACTGTTGTCTCTGGGTCCGATGTGTAGCATGCAGCGAACAAATTTTCACTAGCGGATGGCTCTTTACCCGTCCGCTCATTTGCGGGTAGTTCCAGGGAACTGTTCGTTACTTGCAGATGCTGATTTAGCGAGCCCGGCCCAACTCTAGCTGCTTTGTTTCGTCACCTTGTTGTTGATTACTGTTGCGATATATGCTTATCTTGTCAACTTGATTCATGTTTTGACTAATTTGAAAAGGCACCTTTCAATTGGTGCAGACTAAAGACTGCTCACACTGACCTGCGCAATTGAACTGTCTTGGTACCGGTAGGCTTCTTACTGATGGAACTTGAAAGTGTTGCTGATCCTATTTCTCATACTCAATGTGTCAATTTCAAATTCTCTCAAATTTCAAATTCAAGAGAATAGGCATAGATCTAACCTATCTGATCCAGGACAATGACCAAAAAAAGAAAAATCTCTGTTCCAACCCAATCTTTGTTGCTTCCCTTGATTCTCTGACACAGCTGATGCCATAACACTGTTCGCGTATCCTTCGTTCTACGGATCTTTCATGGCAGTATTGTTTTTGTTTGTTCTTAGTTTTTTTTATCTCCCCTACCACCAAACCTCTCCTCCCCTCTTGTCACTTTGATGTTACGTCAACGTACCGATGTTTGTCTGTTGCAGCACAGTAAGGGGGTTGGTTGGAGGACGGTAAGGAAAGTGGCTTGGGTTGTTTTTATTTCATTATAGAAGCCAATAATACCAAGGCGTATAGTACTGAGATTTACTCTCCTTGGGTTAGTCAGTTAATTAGGCCACAACTTTTAGAGTTGTGTGTTGGGCAGATGTAATTGTTTTGAGTGGTTTATTTTTTTAAACTCACTTTGTTCAGGTTGAGTGTTTAAGAAGATGGTATGTGTGTTTGTTGTGTGTAGTCAAATCTGGCACTGGGAAAGAGCCTGTTTTTGCATTGAATTAAAAATTTCCTACCAAAGCAGTACCTGTGTCACGGCTGTTCACGAGCAGTACTTTAGTTCTACCGGCACCCCGCAGCGCCCCGGCGCTCAGCATAACTTGAACCAGCCATTACCAACGGGTCAAGCGGTCAGCTCGTGGAATTTTACCTGACTGACAGATTCGCGATGAAAATGTTATTGCAGTTTTCAGCTTTGTTTAACCTGCGACTAAGCCCAAACTACAACACTAACTGTGCATAAAACCGTATACTTTGAATAAGCATCATCTGACATATTTCTTAGAGCAATCATGCAACTAATTAAGACAAAGGAATACAAGATGACGAAGAAAGAAAAGTGGATACATGTTTAAACATTGATAGAGGCTCATGATTTATTTAATTAAATTTGAATATGATAGCTGCTGTCAATTTTGACAATTCTAAGTTATTGGGTCAGAAATTGAGTAAAGTTTCAAACTCACTTGGCTGCATCTGTGTGTCGTTGCCTAAAGCAAAGATATTATGTCTTGAGTGGAGATTCGCAGCTTTTCGCAATGTCCTCAGTTCCCCAAGTCCAGCTGTCACAAGTGACATTTCTTTATAAAAATGTATCAGTCTAGGATCGCGGGTATCACCAGTCAAGGTGTCAGCACTTATAACTGCATTTAGCCTTCTGTCACAATATTGGTAAACATACTATATAATCATTATTACATTTTAAGAGATGCTAGATCTAGATTTGAAACAAAACACACTTACAAAAATCTTGTGAACACTGAACAAAAGACACCTATATCATTTTTAAAAAGAAAAAATCACAGATGCACGAAACAAAGTTAAAACTTACAACATTTGTACAGTATACCTCTCGCTACTTGATTTGTAAATAGATTTGAAACTGATGATGGATTTACGAAGTTATTAGCGTTTAAATTCAAATAACACTGAAAAAGGAATCCGATAGAAACACGTCTTGGAGAACGTAGTTCGATAGAATCAAGGTTGTGAACTGAGATCGACCAAAGCAGGGGGGAAGCGGAGCTTTAAAATGGTAGGTCATATGGTGATATCACATTTTTAGATTTGGAGATATCAGGATGGGAATGACACCATAATTTGGAGGAAGTGCATTACGCAGGCAGGCGGGGGCGCGCCTCTGGCGTCACTGTCATGAGCACGGCTGACCACGGATTTAATGACCAACACATGGGTGGCACTGACCGCTGGCACGGAGCAACTAAAGAAGCGGTTTCCGGGCGAGTTGAACAGCCGTGCTGTACATACTATTTGAATAAATGGAATCGAGACGCAAAATAAATTAATCAATAAATGCATCAAAACAAAACACAAAAAATCCAGAGGTGAACACTTTGCAGTCACTTGGCGCAATAATGCGCCGGTGAAAATGATCCGTTCCGGTTGTGCGCCAGGCCCGAGAAGTCTGTTGCATTCACTCTCCAGACTGGGTGACCAGACGTGGTATTTTGTACTTCTGGCTGTGTGACTGCAAAGTGTTAATGCAAATAACATCCCTTTCGAAGATCCATGGGACCCCCCTTCCCCATTCTATTCATGTGGTTGATAGGATTACCTCCCTTGATGCTCGTCCTGCCCTTTGAGTAGTGCCACTGGCCTAGAAAGAGTGTTAAAGTATTTAGTAGCCTTCGTTAGCTTGAGCGTTCCAGCTCTCAAATAGTATTAAGCCTTGCACAAGCGCTAGAGCACTTGCGAGTGGTAAAATATTGTTTCGCGCACAGCACAACTAAAAACATTTTTGAGTGTATTTTGTGGGAAAATCGTTGATCAAAGGTACAAAAAAATGTAAATTTGCAGTCTCCAAGGCACACTCAAGCTTAGGAAGTACCTACATTTTGGCGGCTATTTTCTTGCTGATTTTACTTCTGGCATGAGGGGGCCCCCACGTCCTTCAATTAAATCTATCTGCTGTTTAAAAGTTTTTTGTTTTGAAACTGAAATACTTTTTTTTTTTTTTAAGAATGGGTGGATCACAGGAAAGATGTGGACGGAATAGAATTGAGTTATTCCGAAAATTTGCTAGTACTGTTTAGTGACGGTAACGTAACTGATATATGGATGATGATGTCAAGAGTTATTGAAATGTTACTATTCTAAGACGTGCATCAGTCCCTGTGAATGTTTCACTCTGACTCCAGGTTCTTAACTATATACTTTATATTTCAGGTTGTGAACTTGACAAAGCATCGAGGCCCAGGGAAAGCAGACGATGAACAGTTCCACGTGTTACCTCTGTACATCCTAGACCAAACAGATGAGTTTGGCTCTATGGGGGCTCAGATGAACAAAGTACAGGCTGGGTCCTTGGAGGTTTTGTCTCAGTACAAGACTCAAATTCGATTTAGATCAGCTCCCTACAGGCCATGCAAGAGAAATCGAACACTGGGGAAGAAAGAAAAGACTCCAAAAAAGATGAAGATCGGCAAATCAAAGTCTTTCCCTTTGGAGAAAGCTACGGACCAGAAAATGGGTTCTACGTGCAACGGGACTCACCCTTACCATCATGATGTGAGTCCTCCTAAGAAGCAATACCAAAACAATGATGTGGAACCGTTGATGAGGAGTGGAGATCAAGAGAGGATGTCTTGGCCAGAACTCATGTCCCAGCAAGGCACACCAGGCTTTAATGAGCTCTACACCAGCTTCTGGGATTATTTTTATACCAACGGAGTATTTCCTCCCAAGACATGGGTATCTTCTTCCCCTGTGTCCCTGCAGAGACCCCCAGCAGGCAAGAGGCAGCCCTCATTTTCTAACAGCACCTCAACTTCTTCTTCGGCAGCAGGCCCATCTTGGGTTGTTCATCAACCATCAGTCGCAGATCAAATGTATCTTCAGCAGCAATGGCAGCAAAATCAGATGAATCAAAGGCAGCAGCAGATGGGTGGGTTGGACCAAATGAACAGCCCACCATCTGAAACTCCTCAGCATGCTCCATCATTGTCATCGTCTCTCGCATCACAACCACACTCTGGATTATCCCCACGACCAATGGCCAGTTTGAGGACTTCTGTCTCTTCTGCATCTGTGTCCACTTCAAATAATTTGCCTTTTCCAGCAGAGCGGCAGCACCCACATCAATTCCAGTCCATTCCTAATGTTCAGAATACACCAAACTTGGAGGCATCAACAAATAAAGCTTTATTTCGATCGCTCAGTTTACCGTCTCCTCGCCCTCTGACACCTTCGGTGCACCCTCCTCCTGTCGCAAAGTTGGGGATGCCACCAATTTCAAGCACACCCCGCCCTGTTGTTTATCATGACTCAGTTCAGCTCCCCGACACTGCCAACACTCCACTTCAACAAGATTTTGACCACACATTCACACATCCCAAAAGACAAGACTTTCCACACACAGCCACACTACCATCTATGCTGTCTCAGCCAGGACAAGACTTTCGAGGCAATACATTACCGTCCATGCAGTCACTGTCAGATCAAGAAAGGAGGCCACATGCTCAAACAAACAACATGCAACTCGCCACACAGTACAACCCTGGTACAGCAGGGCAGGACCTGACTGGTGCAGATCAAACTGCTTTGACACAGAATAGGGAGAATTACTCTCACGTTCAGCAAAGACAGGAGCGTAGTTACGTAGGAAGCGCTCATGAGCAGAAGTCAGGGGGTCAGGATAACTCTGTAACTTCTTCCCATCAGTTGAATAAGAGTCCAGGCAATAATTCTCTGTCAAAAACTGCATCTACTGGAAGACCTCCTCCTCCTTATTGTCCTCCAAACCATTCCCAGTTGTCATCCATTCCTCAAAATGTTAGTGAGCCTGTGCATTTTGGGGAGCCTTTACCTACCTACAGGGAAAGTGTGGCCCACACTCTATGTAGTAGCACTGGCCTGTATCGCAGTTTGTCGCTGCAGGAACCAGTGAAATGTAGGGAGACTTTGGTGCAGAGTGGTTCTATTCCGGAGCCAGTTAGTTCTGGGGACATTTCAGCCCACCCCCAACAGCCTTCCCGCCCTAACACCAGCCTGGGCCTACAAAGTGGTTTGTCTAGATCGTCTTCTAGAGCCTCTACGTGTTCTGGTGTGCCAGAATATCAACAACATGCAGACAGTTCTTTGTTTAGACATGCAGATCCTGACAGTGTTAGACAGCTCTGCTCTCCATCACAAGCCTCTATCAGTGGCAGTTCAAAGTTCCTGTTTGAAGATAAATTTACCAGTTTGCCCAATACTAATGGTGGTAGGTGCTTGTCCAGGCTCAGTGAACCATGCGGGGATGGTCCTTCATCCAGGCCTGCATCTTGCTTTAGTGAACCCGGCGTGTCGGAGCATGTTCACAGGAAAAAAGTAAAAACGAATTTGATAGCTGCCGATCTGTTGACAGGGCGATCTTGTGGAGAAATTAATAAGCTCTTGCAGTCTGCTCATAGCCAGAACTCTATCCCTGTGTCATATTCAAGTTTTTGCACTTCATTATCTAAAAATGAAAACTCTCCCAGCTGTAATGAAGAACAAGGCAATCAGAGTTTTGTTAAGCAAGAACCAAGGGAGGAAAATTTCGTAAGTCAACTTCCTCAGGCTCTTCAGCAAATTAAGATAGACCCTCTTGACAAAAAATCATTGCACAGTCAAGCAGTGCTGCCGGCACAAATGCAGCAGACATCACAGCAGGTGTCTGGCACAATCTTTTCTCAAGGTGTCGATTGTGGGCAGAAGACCGAGAACATTACCGTAGTTCACACAGATGCGGTTTCGAGGGTATCCGAGTGTCTCCCTCTCAAAGGAGAACAAATGTTTCACCATGAGCAGCAACCCTATGCTACTCCCACCTCTACTGTTGTCACTGTAGGTGGCACTGGTGTCAGTGTCCACCCAGATGGGCCAATGTTTGGGGAGAAGGTTAAAGTTCATAAGTCGGAGGGGTTTGTTGTGCCTAGTAATGTAGAAGGCCCACTGGAGCCCCCCTATAAGGTCATTGACTCCTCTGTTGTGGTCAGTAAGGAGATTAACGACAATCGTGAAGTGTTTGAGGACCCGGCCATGGGTGGAGTGGCCATTGCTCTGTGCCACGGTGCTGTCATCTTTGAAGTGGCAAAACGTGAGCTGCATGCAACCACTGCTCTGAAAGAACCCAACAGATACCACCCGAAGCGCATCAGCTTGGTTTTTTACCAACACAAGAACTTGAACCTAGCTCGACATGGCTTTGAGGAGTATGAGAAGAAAACAGAGGAGCGAAAGAGTCTTGCGGAGCAAGCCAAACTCATAGAAGAATTAGAAGCAAATGGTTTCTCAAAAGGAGAGCTAAGTCAACTCTCTTCTTTCCCCAGTCTAACTAAAGGTTCCTTTGGGAAAGTATTTAACTTCTCAGAAGCAAAAGAAACTGTATTTCCTTTACGGTTCCCTCGTTACTTGGACAATTCCCAATTAGAGCAGATCACACCTGTAATGTTTGCATGCATGTACATCGCTTTCCCGAAGTATATGAAAGAAGCATTTCCAAAAGTCTCCTGTCTGCCTAGGCTCACCAATGGCTACTTTTCCAGTAAGATGAGCTCCACTCTGGCAGACTTGCGCATCCAGGAAAACTTGAAAAACTCTGAGTCAAAGACAAAACCGTTGAAGTTCCAGGTGGATGATTTAGAGAAGTCTGGTGGTTCATACAGGGATTTACACTCTGCGTGGGACCCAAATGCAGTTGAAGGCTTTTCCCCGACAACGAACACAATCGTGACACGGTGGGTGCACCAAGATACTAGTGTCACGGGGCCATACAACCAGTGGATTGAGCTTCTCAACCTGTCAGACGAGAACAGTGAGGAAGCAGAGGCCATGAAAGATGCAGTGCTCAGAGAAGCCACAGAGGCAGATTTGAAAGAGAAAATGTTGGAGAGTGTTCTAGAGATGGATGATCATCTGTCGTCTGGAAAGGTTGATTTTCAAATTGGAGACATAACCCCCAGTTTGCCACAGGCTGCAGATTTTTCTTCTGATGAAGATATAAAATTTCTAGAGTTTGTTGCTCAAAGAGAGAATTTACAGCCCAGTTATGGTAAACTGGGATCTTCCAACACATCATCAGGGCATGTTCATGGTTTTCCTGAGGGAAACATGGAGTTTTCAGCATCGGTAACTCGGAGAGGTGACACACAATCCAGCAAAGATGGACAAGGACAGTCAAATCTTTCATCTCTAGGACAGGTTCACAGTTCACAGGTTTCGTCTCCTTGGCCCACTTCTCTGCCTGGTCATACTGTTGTGTCAGTCTGTCCTACCACTTCTAATGTTGCGGTGGATCTGAACGGACTTGAGAAATTCCACTGCAATAATTCACAGCCTTTGAGAAGTGATGTTCTCTCCGAGATGACAAAAGATTGCTCATTCACCACAAAGATGACACATGAAAATTCTTTAGCATTGAGATATTCTGTCAATGAAAGAACTCAGGGAGTGCAGTATCCTTCAAATGCTCAACTTTCTCATGCAGATATTAACGATGGAGTGATGCACAAATCAGAAACTGAACCAGGACTAGATCATGCAAGTATTAGTAGGGCAGGCAGGAATGAGGGCTTTCCATCCCCAAGTGGTAATGGGACCAACCAGGTTGTCATGAGCCGGCGGCAGAGCATGTACGAGTTTCTGGTATCGGGTTTCAAGGAGCAGAGGTTGCCTAAACCTCACACAGTCAACTTGTCGCTCATCCCAGACCCGGTGGATCTGGACCAGTCTATGTGTGTTGGCCCATCCGGGAGTGCAGCAAAGAAGGCCGAGTCCACTGTGAGGGTGGGTCAGGTGGCAGACCTTACTGATGGGAATGGCAAAGTGCTGACTTCTTCAGAGCCAGGGCTAGATCCTAATGAACTGTCTCTTAAAGCTGAGTGTGAATGAAGTTCCTGTGGAATGCGGCAGCTGCATTATTTTTTAAGTGGTCAACTTTATGAAAGCAGATGCAGAGTAAATTTGTTTAATTTTTACTCTACATGCATCATTTTACTGAATTTGATTACTTTTTCCAGCTTTTCTTTAAAATCTATTGTAAACTGGCACTCGTACCCACTACATATCCTGTTAAAAATTAGAGTACATTTTCTTTCTCAGGCTTGGCTCGGCTCCATTGATATATATAAACACATCCATGGAGATTTTATTACTGTTTTCATTGCATGAAGTGGAGCTGGTTGCCATCTGAACAAGACTAGTTTTCCCAAGGATACAGCTCTGCCAGAAATTGCACATAACCTCCAGTATAAATGGTTTTCCTGACCACACCGTCATGGAAAGTATCGACCCTCAACCTAAATATATGTCTTGCTTGTTGGTGAAATCAGGAGCTTGTCACAAAACAACGAAATTGGAGAAACTTGCATATTTCTTCCCCTAGACCATTTTTTTTTTTCCAGATATTTTGTTTTGGGCTCAACACTTTTATTTGTCCATTTATAAAAACATTTTTGGGTAGATTTTACTGAAATAAGTTGATCCCAGGCACACACAAAAATGTAAATATGCAGTTTCCTAGGATAGTGAAGCTCACCAAAATTTGACTGCCATTTTCTCGCTTATTTTACATATATATATATCTCTCTTTGACACTGACAGCAGGCGATCCCCTCCTTAAAAACACAAATATTTCAACTTTATGCAAGATAAATGGAATTTTTTTTTTCATCTAAAGCAAGGCAAATGAGGCGGCCTTAAGATTACACCAATAATTTCGTACATCCAAAAACTGACAAGCACCTAATGCCAGTGCGTTGTGAGACACTGGAGACACTGAGCTACAGCAGTCTTCCTCAGCCATGGCTCAAGCCTCGGCAAGCTTTCCCACAGTTCTGAGCCCAGGAAGCAACATTTTTCAGGGGAGAGAAAAAATACTTTCAATTTGTTTTTTTTAAAAAGTACCTGCACTATTTTCAACGTTTAAAATTTGAATTTCAGCAGAATACTTGTGGAGCTCATGCAACTGGTTAGTGAAAAAGAAAGTACCTCGATCTCATTTAAAATTAGAGGTAGTTTCATGTTAAGCTTTTCCTGATACTTATGTTCAAATAGCAGTAGTTGTACTTTGTCTTCTCCATGACCTTAGGGTGTGTTCTGACTCGCTATGCAAAATATTCTGTGATGCCACAGGCAATGGTTTACTCTGTTTCGTTGTTGGAATTTCAGTCGTGTTCTGTTTCACAGAAGCACTTTGATATGATTCAGATTGTAAACCCCAATACTTGGAATGGCTTTTTGTGCTGTGCAAGGTGCGTATAAGATTTCCGCCAAGTTTATAGACCTGCCACACTTTGGCCTTCTGACAATAAATAGGGCAGCGTACGTATATCTAGTTCTGTTCCCATTTTCCTACCCAGTGCAATAATTGCCCTCCTTCAAAGTAAGATTCATATTTAATTTTTACATCCTGAGAATTATTTTATTTCTTTTACCTTTGTACTGAGCCTGACCGGTGTATTCAAAATGTGTACCTGGAAAGTGTATTGGAACAGAAAACTCTTTGACTGCTGTGTGGTCATCATAACTTGTTTAATGTATCATGTGTGCATGCTGTCGTAATGTGTTAAGGCATTTCAATGTGGTGGCTGTGGACAAGTAACAGGTGAATACATATCATAGTAAAGTTCTTCTACTTCTACCTGTATGTTTGTAACATACAAGAATTATTCTACAAAACGTCTGTTGTTGGTATCAAAAAGATACTCCATGTAAACATTGGCCTTTGGTCATACATGAGTATGGTGATCCTTTGGTCATACATGTCGAGTATGATGATGCTTGAAAGAACAGTTTATTTGGTTTTGATCAACTCCTTCCCCTCTGAAATGGCGTTTTTCTCATGGTATATGGATATCAGTCTTGTTGTGACTACGTCTGACAAGGGTTGCTTTATTTGTAACAGAGAACACTGTCTAAATCTATAGTTTCACCTTAATTGAATGTATGGGAGCTTCTATAGCCACTTTTTAGCTAGCACCATGAAGATGATTTTGAGGTTTGTGCCATAACATGTGTTACAGATGCATCTGATACAACATGAATGTGTGTGATTTATGTCTTGCTGAACATTTGTACTCTCATAGCATATGTGTCTGGGAGGAGCAAGACTGATGTTGAGGGCATACTAGAATGATGTATACCGTACTTTTCCCAGTTTTATTTTGTTCCCAGAACTTTTGTTGGCTTGAATTTGGCAGATGAGGCATGTTTTATTTTATAAGAATGTTACCCCGAATTTTGTTTTCGAACTTTACATTTTGTCATTAGTCAGTTAGATCAGCGTATATCACGAAAGATTTTCTTAGCTTAATAAGTCTCTCTCCTTTGGGCTAGGAGAGGAAGTATAATGAAATTAATTTTAGTTCTTACATTTTCTGTTCTGTCTGATTCAACTTATGTGCCATAGTAATTAGATACAGCTATAATTGTTTAGCTGCACTCATTTTATTTCCGTTTTTGGAAAGTGAGTTTTAGAAGCAATTTCTTTTTGTTTTAGAGGTCCCCTATTTTCATCTAATATTTTTGTTGTGATCGTTCAGTAGCTAGATTTTTAAATATTAGTTCCATCTCTGACCTGATTTTTGTTGGTGTCTTTTCTCACCTGTTCAAGTTTTTTAAAAATGTTTTTAGGCAGATTACTAGCTATTAATATATACCTGACAGTATAATACATATATATATATAAGAGCTATTGCCAAAAGGTGGGGAGCGCATGGGGGTCTTGGAAGCCATGAAATATTGTTGATCAATTTGCATGAATCTTTGTCTTAGCATGAAGCACACACATCCATCTGTTCATATGGTCAACAAATGACAGAGCTAGTAGTCAAACGGTCTCTGAGATATGACGGTGTCCGTTGTTGAAATATATGCTAAATGACTTGTACATAAGTGATGACAAACATTTATGTAAAAAACAATTACATTTCAATTGCATTGCCAGAGCCAACTGTATTCATTATTATAACAAACTCACAGAGACAGATAACATGAATATAAAGTGGTATTTGTATTTGTAAAGACTCAATATTTTGTCATCATGGTAATCTATAATATTAAAAACTGTTATTTTTGCCACTGTTTTATTTTATAGTGTAGATTTTCCCCACATTTTGGCGAATGCTCATATTTATATACTTTATGCATATTAAATACACACACACAAAAACGCACACATTCACATACACACTCACACACACACACACACACATATATATATATATATATATACATAGTGAAGTCTGCTTAAACTTAAGCCTGCAGGACTGGCGGATACTCTTTAGTTTAGCTATGTTTTCAGTGCAGAGAGGTTGCTTAAAAAGAAAAAATATCAGGGATTTTCTTTTCCTTCGGTTTACCACTGCTTTCAATTTAACCCTGCTTGGTTCAAGCGGACTCCACTGTAAACTTGAGTTTGTGTGTGTGTGCAGGTGAAATTGCTAAAACCTAAAAAAAAAAGGTGAAGTCATCCTTTTTTTTATGTGAATGATGTGTTAAAGTGCTCCTCTGTGAGAGTGCGAGACATTTTTATATGATACTGTACTTTGAGTTTTATACTTTTACACTGAATCAATGAATGCTGTGTTGAAATTGTATTTAACTGAGGCAAGAATGTTTGAACTGCACCCCGTATTGCATTGTGATAGGAAGTTGCAAGTACTTGTTTTACCCACTTTGTTTTGTTTTTTATTTGTCCTTTGTTTTGTTCATGAAATGAATTATTGTAAATACACTTTGGTGGAGATATTTTCCTTATACTTGACTTAAATTTACAAGTGGCAGTTGAGAGGAGGGACTGAGACCGTCTCAGTGATACTGGGGCTGTCCACTGTTTACACATCACTGGTAGAGATTGGAATGTCACCTTTTGTCAGATGGTAAAAGGTGCAAATATTTGCCATAACAGGTGCCTACGTAGTGTCAACACATCTGTAACATTCTCAGTCCTTTCAGTTTTTGTAGATGAAAAGAGAGTCATAACTGAGTGCAAATCGGGGGACTGGAGTAAAAGCGACTGAGAGTTCATAGTTTGACCCTGTAGTATTGTTGTAGTAGTTGTAGTAGTTGTAGTAGTAGTAGTAGTTGTAGTAGTAGTAGTTGTAGTAGTTGTAGTTGTAGTAGTAGCAGTTGCCCTGCAGAACTTCTTTTTTTTTTTCATCTAAACCTCAAACACAAACTTAGAAACTCAAAATTATCACTCTCTAACAGAATAATGTGGAAACATTCATCTTTCAGTACTTATAGTCTGTGGTTAGCGGCTTGAGATAAACAGGAAGTCATATTATTGTATCAAATGTTAGCAAAAAAGCAAAATTGATAGCAGTCACTGTTCAACCCGTCTCAGCTCCAACTGACCCCAAGCTGAGGAATCCTGCAGCGGTGGTGGGGGATGAGTCACTCTTATAAAAAGATTATTCAAAGGCAAAGAATTGTACAGAAAGTGGTGTCAAGGACCAGTAGTTTTAATACTACAGTCACCTAGCCTCAAGATGTATGTATAGATATTGGACAGCTCAGTTGTGATGGTAAAAGTGCTGCTGTACAATTGGTTTCTTGTGGTGGCCAGACGTGGCAGGCTATGTCATGGAGAGAAAAAGAAAACAAATGTGGCTGATCTCACTACCACAACTATACTTTATGAGGCAATACATGGACCAGGTCGGTGGGAAATTGCTTGTATAATCTTTGTATGTTTTTCTTTGTGTCAGATTACTGGCAAAATCTAGTGGTCCAGTGTGATTTAAGAAATTGTACATAATCAAATTGTTTATTTATTGCATATTTTTAAATTTCTAAATTTTTGGGTTTTTGTTGTGTTTTTTTAATCATCAACTTTCCTACATGTACATGTGTGTGTATTTACTGTTCAGATGTTTACATTGATATCATGGATTGTGCACTGAAGCATCATGATTATGGGGTTGCATAATAGAAAATGTGGGAACCCTTCTAGCTGGCTTTGACGACCATTGGTATGATTGTGTGGACATCCCGACTGATAGAATATTGGCTGGTCTGTGTCTAGTTGAACTTTTGTTTTCCTGTTGAGCATGTGTCTTCATTTTTGAGAGACCCAAAGGAATGGATGGTGATTCTTAGTGTTATGTAAAAGCATAAGTTGTGTTCTTTCTGTTTTAAATTAGGTGTTGAGGGTTTTGGTTTTAATCACTATCAGCTTTTTTTCTTTCAATCGATGCCACTATATTTGTCTCTAAATAGTGTTATCTCTAGGAATATTACAAAGGATTTATCAGTGACATTTTCTTCATGCCTCAGTCACTCCAGATTGATAGATGTCTCTGTAAAACAGATTAGTAGGACAAAGAGCGCATTGGGCAATGTTCGAATATAATATATATCATTCATGCATTCTGTTCTCCGAAGAAAAAGATGTTACATGGATCAATAAAAATTGTGAATGCTTATTTAATTTTTTTAAACTGTCTCATGCTTAGATAAAACAGAGAGAAATGGACTAGTTTTTCTCCTAAAACTTGACAATTTGTTTGTGGAAATTAGATGATTTATTTTAGATGAGTGTGGTGGTCAGTGGGTGAGACTTCATACTTTGACCATCCGTATTATTAAAATCTTAAAAATAAAAGTTTTTTTTTACCAACTTATGACAGAAATACCAATTTGTTCAAAATTTTTACACTGAACGTATATCAATTTGTCTTAATGGATAAAAACAAATGTTTTGCAGAAGACGAGAAATAAGCAATGTCTCTCTTTGTCATTGTTTTTTTTGGGGGCAAAATTTTGGCTGAATTACCAGTATTTATTTTTCCATGGGCCAGCTTTGAAATATGGATAAGCGATATAAACATCTTTTGTTATGAGCAACAGGGAAGGTGCTATGATAGCATATATGCATGAAAATGCTTTAGATAGAGACCATGGCACTAGTTAAAAAATGGGACTGTTCAGTAAGTATGCTGATTTTTGGTTGCCTTAAACTTTACTTAGGGACAGAAAAAGGCCCTTCATCCTGATATGCTACAACTATTAAAGAAGTATTACATGGTATGAAAAATAAATAGTGTTTATATTAGTTTCAACGTCTCCCAGTAAAAGTTATTCTAAAATGGCTGTTTTATTTTTTTATGTCTTAGGCCACCTGTCCACCAAACCAGAAGCCAACCAACCGTAAGTCGTCTGTGTCACGGAACAGCTCCAGGTTTTACCTTAGCAATTTGTGAACATTCTCTTTGGATGTGTCCACCGAAATCACACGACTTCTCCCAACTCAACAGCCATAGGCCAAGCAAGAGCTAGAAAAATATTGTATGATCAGATGAAAGATTTAATGTCATATGTAATGTGAGGCATCATGGTGAAATCAGGTGCTCTTCAAAATAATGAAATCCTAGAAATCGCTATTTTTCGGCCTGTTCGGATTTTTTTATTTTTTGTTTTATGGCTCAACACATTGTATGTCTTTCAAAAACACTTTTATGAGTGGATTTTATGGAAAAACGTTGATTAAAGCACTAAAAATGTAAATTTGTAATTTTCAAGGACTCTTAAGCTATTGAAGTCACTAAACTCTGGAGGCCATTTTCTCGCTATTTTACTTCTGAAACCAGGCGACCCCACCTCCTTCAATTGCAAATATCTCGACTTCTATTCAAGATAAACGGTTATTTTTTTCATCGAAAGCAAGACAAATGAACACCCTTTAATTTACTTAAAGATGACACCAATAAATATATGCCCCAAAATTGACGAGTGCCTGATTCCACTGCGTCGTGACACACATTTGTAGTAATGGTGGCTGATTCCACTGCGTCGTGACACACATTTGTAGTAATGGTGGCTGAAAATGAGTAAAGTCAACACGTAAACCATCTTGTTTAAGAAATATTAATAATTTAACTATTTAAAAAAACAAACAAAATAAACCCTTTCATATCTTATTGTCGCCGCACGTTCGTTGACCTCTTGACCATTATAGCCTAATACTGAGAAATGACAGCGTGTTGTCAGAGCGACTCACTCTGTAAATCAGGTCGTTTCTGGTTTGGTGGCCCTGTGGCCTTAAGTGGACAACTTGGACAGTGCCATTATGATTCGAAAAAATGCAAGGGGGCCTGTGAGAAGTGGTCGTTGGCACAGGTGATTGTTTTGAACAGGTAGTTTAGCGCACTGCCATTTGATTGCTCAGTGGAAGACTCCGTCATCTGTCACTTTTCAAACCGAGTTATGGCAGCTTTTCACCAAGCAGTCAAATTCTATTTGTCTGCCACCCTATGTACAACAAAGAAATGTTAGGTAGGTTCAACCACATGTGCCTTTCTCGCTCGTCCATGGTGCCTAACTCATCTTTATGAATTGCTCAGAAAATCATACCATACTGTCATACGAAAGTCAAGGTTTAGCTTTACTGTTTTCTGTTCTTTAATTAAGAGAAGTGAACTCTTGATTAGTCACATCCCCCCCCCCCCTCGCCCCTGGTCATGCAGAAGCAACTAGTTGAGTACACCTCTGTGCAGCTCATTTTGTTCATTCCCCTAGCAGTTGCTCACATTCCCTGTCTTTGTTGAGGTGCTTTGGGTTTTAACAGGGACATATTGACTTTGTGTGTTTGTGGATATGACTAAAATATGTTATTATTGGGAACCAAATCGCAGCCTTG